ATCTCTCACACAGGGCTGAAAGGAGAACAAAGACTGACCAGCTGCAACTGCAACAAGTCTGGACCAGAAGACTGAAGATAACATCTGCACAGTAAGACTTCTGCTTTTCTGTCCAAAACCTATCTTGAGTAACAAAAAGGCCATTTGGAATTCCTGAAGACACAGGGGTGCTGATAGTGATCAAGGCCTGTAGGCCAAGATGTGTAAACATTGGGGGTCTATTAATTGTCAGACCTTTTGCACAGTGGGTGAAGCTGTAATCTGCTGATTGGTCAGTTTGAATGTCTCACATTTGGTTTTTAGTCACATGGTCAAGGACGGGATAAAAGAAGATTGCAACTGTTGCTTGGTGTCTTTGCTGCTTCTTTTCTTTCCTGGCACTCTCTTCTTGGGGCTCTGCCCTCTCTCCCTCTTTCTCTCTCTTTCTCTCTCTGTCCCTCTGGTAGTAATATTTTGCAAACATGCTGGGTACAATGAACTGTTTGTTTTACCATCCTTCATCTATTTTGTAACCAATTCAAGTGTAACCATAACAAAATACTGTTATTAAACCATTTAAGCATAGATTTAAGGGCTTTTTGCCAGAGACAAATTCAATCTGACCACATCAAACGTCTGACCAATGACAAATGCCATGTATACTTTTGCTGTTCGTTTTGCCGTATGATCTTTTAAAAATCACAGGATCCCTGCTGCATGAGTTCTTATCCTGTGTCCTGCCTCAGAAAGAGGAACAAGTGGGTTCTACCATCTTCAGTGCCTGCTCGTGTGGAGGTGTGAAGTATTCAATGGACGTTTTTGAACACCATTCGATGAAGATCTCTCACACAGGGCTGAAAGGAGAACAAAAACTGACCAGCTGCAATTGCAACAAGTCTGGGCCAGAAGTCTGAAGATGACATCTGCACACAACAGCAAGCATGTTTTCATGGACTGTGTCACCTTTTGCCTCTTTAGGTGTGGCCAACGGTGCCAAGGGGGGACTTTGTAGGGTCAAAAATTATCAAAGACTTCTGCTTTCCTGTCCCAAACCTATCTTCAGTAACAAAAGGGCCATTTGGCATTCCTGAAGGCACAGATGTGCTAACTAGTCTTGATTCAAGGTTAATCTTAAAGTGCTACCTATTGCAATACAATAGTCAACTCAATAGCAATGCTCTCCCACATATTTAGCTATTCTAACTGCGCTTATTTCTGTCGTTGGTATAAGTGGCAGTGGGTGGTAATAAACAAGAAATGTACCATCGTTCTGATAACGTTTCTTTAGTCATTCGACAATCCTACAGCCTGAACCACTGTAGGGAAACCACCCATACAGTCTTCTCTCGTCTTGCACTGTCGTCACTCCTCCTTTTATCCTTCTGGAGCTCCTCCGTGGGACTCGAGTTTTTGAACACCATTCGATGAAGATCTCTCACACAGGGCTGAAAGGAGAACAAAAACTGACCAGCTGCAATTGCAACAAGTCTGGGCCAGAAGTCTGAAGATGACATCTGCACACAACAGCAAGCATGTTTTCATGGACTGTGTCACCTTTTGCCTCTTTAGGTGTGGCCAACGGTGCCAAGGGGGGACTTTGTAAGGTCAAAAATTATCAAAGACTTCTGCTTTCCTGTCCCAAACCTATCTTCAGTAACAAAAGGGCCATTTGGCATTCCTGAAGGCACAGAAGGGCTGATATCGATCAAGGCCTGTAGGCCAACATGTGTATACATCGGGGGTCTGCTAATTGTCACACCTTTTGCCCAATGGGTGAAGTTGTAATCTGCTGATTGGTCAGTTTGAATGTCTCACATTTGGTTTTTAGTCACATGGTCAAGGACGGGATAAAAGAAGATTGCAACTGTTGCTTGGTGTCTTTGCTGCTTCTTTTCTTTCCTGGCACTCTCTTCTTGGGGCTCTGCCCTCTCTCCCTCTTTCTCTCTCTTTCTCTCTCTGTCCCTCTGGTAGTAATATTTTGCAAACATGCTGGGTACAATGAACTGTTTGTTTTACCATCCTTCATCTATTTTGTAACCAATTCAAGTGTAACCATAACAAAATATTGTTATTAAACCATTTCAATTATTAATTATGAGCTAACTCGTCTTGATTCAAGGTTAATATTAAAGTGCTACCTATTGCAATACAATAGTCACTCAATAGCAATGCTCTCCCACATATGTAGCTATTCTAACTGCGCTTATTTCTGTCGTTTGTCGTTGGTGCAGTGGGTGGTAATAAACAAGAAATGTACCATCGTTCTGATAACGTTTCTTTAGTCATTAGTCATTCG